CTGCACATTGTAGTCGAAATACGTATCTGTCATGGATACCAAAATTAATTAAGTGGAATTAAATGGAAGATAAACCCTTTTGCTGTTTTAAAAAAAACCGTTGATTTCATGAATAATTATGGAGAATTGATATATAATTCGATTTAAAAAGTTTAGTATAAGCATTTAAGTGAAAATAAGAGGTACGTTAAAAATTAATTACACATTTCCGTAGAAATCTGGTCGATCGATTTGGTCATTGCTGAAATCGTATGTCTATCCAGCGGGACACGAGTTTCCCGGGAAGCTTTGAGGTACGTTCAAAATCCTTGAAGGTACGCTATGGTACCATAGAGGTAACTCTAAGACCACTGGGTCCCGAAGAAAATCATTATTATTTTTGGCTCACTCAGTACCAGAACAACGGTCCCAAGCAGTCCCAAGCTATTTCACTCACCCCTGCATGTTCTGCATGAATCCACACACCCCTGATGTTATCTGTCAAACTTTCATAGCGAATCAAAACAAACATAGTGTAGTAATAGAATTTCAACTAGAATAGGGTACGTTAATCGTTTGCTTGGGACCAACAGGCTACTAAAGTGGTGAGCCAATTTAAAATCGTTAGTTTCGTATTGATTGTTGATGGTACGCTATTGGTACATTCCAAAACACGTATCAACTTTGAAATTCGTTAAGTTTATCCTGCTGGATAGATTGACGTCAAATTTGTTTAAAAAAAATCATTTTTTTACTGTTAAGATGCTTAACAACCCCCAACCTTTAGAGTTGTCCCACAGCTGTCTACAGCAGCAGTCGATTTTTTATTTCGTTGTGAACCACACGATAGCCTGTTTTCGAGACTCGCTATTATATAGTTGCTCTTTGTTCGTTGCTAGCAGTTCGTTGCCTTTTGTTGCTACGGTGCAAGATGTGTGAAGTAAAAAACACCATCAAGTTTAGCTTCAGCCATTGTGATGCCAAACCAAACATCGGAGAGATAGTAAATTTCGCCAAAGCACTCGACGCGGATCCGGCTGAAATGGAAGCTGTTTATCGCATTGGTGAGGAAAGGGGAGTCTTCATGAAGTTCAAATCAGAGGAAGCGATGCTCCATGCTCTGACATTCAATTCGGAGGATTTAATCTTTCATTATGCGAATGGAACGACGGCAAAGGTACGCATGTCGCATGCTGGTGAATTCATTCAATATGTGCGTGTGTATGACTTGCCACCAGAGGTACCCGACAACGAGCTGGACAAAGTGCTGGGGAAATATGGGAAAATTAAACGCATCATCCGGGAGAAATTTCCAACTGATCTGTGTTTTGAGGTATATACAGAGATACGCGGTGTATATATGGATGTGAAGAAGGAAATCCCCACGTCATTACATTTCTTCAATCGCAAAAGAAATATTTTTTATGATGGCAACAAAGATAAATGTTTTCTGTGCAAGGCGGACGGACCCCGGAAGCTTTCCTGTCCCAAGCGGAAGGCTCGGAAGGAACCGGAGAAGCAACTGAAGGAAAAAGGAAAGCAAAGTGAAAGAAAACAAAACAGCAGCAGTACGTATGCTGGTGTAGTGATGGAAGGTGCGTCGTTTGTCATTAGCGATCAGGAAACGGATACGGGGTTGGAGATGTTGAATGCAGATAACGAAATGGACGTGACTACCCCGACGACCGACGAGAGTAGCGGAGAGCATGCAACGGGAAACGATGTCCAGAAACAGCAGCAGCGATCACGATTCGGGTTCAATGAAAATGAGGAACAAATTCGGGAAAGAAAGAAGTTGCGTGCATGGGAGAAGATCGCTTTGTCGCCGCTTCGATCGCCACCCAGAAAAATCATATGATAAAATATATTTGTACATATTTTTTTTTTGTATTTTGAGTACCATAATTGGTATTCTATGTAACTCGGCTCCGCTAAGTTATTTTTATAACATTTGAGCCTGCCAAATAAAGGAAATGAAAAAAAAAAAAAAAAAAACCCCAACCTTTCCACATTTCGTTTGGATGATAACCCACATCGTTAAGCACTTTCTTTTGATATTTCTCGCGCTACACGAGAAAAGGGCCTATCCTCGTTGATCGATTCTCTTCATCGATTTTCTCTTTCGTGAATAACCCGACTGCAAATGAATTTCTCATTGAGTGTGTTGTTTCAGGCGCAAGCTAACATCATATTGTGTCGAACTGTGCTTCGAGCTTAGCGAGAAATTCGTTAGTGTTGCCATGGTGAACCGAAGAGAAAGTCGATGAAGAGAATCGATCAACGAGGATAGGCCCTTTTCTCGTGTTGCGCGAGATTTTCTCTCGATTTTCTCCTAATGAAAAGCAAACCTACACTCATAAAATTCAACACATTTTTATTGGCGAATTTCCATGTAAAATTCCACATGATTTTCATGTGTCCACACATAAACAGAATCCACTCAGAAGTACACATGGAATTTATGAGTCAACTGAATAGTATGTGTGGTTGCACATGAATTTTAGGTGTACCTATGAACTATGTGTCCGACACATTGCAAAAATTCATGTGTGAGACTCACAAAAATTAGCATTGAATTTTCCTTAGTGTATGGTCGCGCTTATACACGGTAACCAGCGTAAACACATAAATGAGTAAGAAAATACATTTTTTTTTTATATTTATATGCAGCTGTCAAAAAATGTGTAAATTTGGAGATCTTAAAATGTGTAAAAAATTCACATTTTAAGAATGTAGTACCAGTCAAAAAATGTGAATTTTTTTAATGGGTAAAAAAAACTTCTGCTTCGTTGATGGACACCATTTGCCTTTAAGCGAAAAACTTTCAGCAATTTTAACAGGAAAATGGAGGAACTACGGTCCAAATTGTAACAGAGCAACGGTGGACAAGCTAGAGGGTAAGTGATTTATATTATTTTCGTTGCTAAGCCCTAGAAAAATAATCATTATTAAAGTTTTCATTGTCCGGTGTCTGGCTGTGATTTTTTTTAAATAAAATATTATTGGATCCGATCAATCTTTATTTTATCATTGACAAAAATCGGAAAACTCCAATATCAATGTCCAAGTGTGTCCAATGTGGTCTGGAACACTTAACACGACTGGCATTGATCTTTTTTTTTGAATTCTGTAGTAATTTGATGTGTCGCATGATGGTTTTGATACGTTTTCCGTTAAATCCAGCGTGAAGGCCCATATTCACCGGATCTTATTCCGGCCATATCTCCGGAACCGGTTCACCGATTCCAAAACCATTCAATAGCGTTCAATGGGACCCCAAGACCTACCATTTGGCGCCAAGTTTGTCCAAATCGGTTGAGCGGTTGCTGAATAATAGCAAAAAGCAGATACAATATAACATCAATGGATGTAATTTTGTTCTCAAAATCGATGTACATCGTACAACGTTATATTACACAACCGATGGATTGACCTGGTTGCAGCAGTTTGGATGTAATATTCAACAACTTTTTTTTCTGTGTATAATCTCTTTTTGAGAAATTTTCCTGCCACACACAATATACACACAGAGTTTAGATTACCGAAGCCGGTAAAATTTTACTGGGTTTTTAAACAGCTGAGTTTTCAGCAATTAATTCAGTAGTTTTTGGTTTAACTGAAAACTCGGTAAATGGAAAAATCCCTGAAATGTCAAAATTTACCGTTTTAGTCAGTTAAAGAATTGCTGACTTTTTCAGTAATTTATTTGTTTACATTATTTTTGCTGAGTTTTTCAGTATTTTGATGAATACATATCAATGAGTAGTAAATAAATTATTTCGGATCTTTTAAGATTTTTATTAGGGGACTCAGGTTTATTTTGTTTAGAGGCATAATAGCAATGATGCTGTTTAAACTTATCTTGAGCTATAGTCCAGCTTAAGCGCTCAATACTTCCTCGTGGTTCAGCCGGCTGGTTGCTTTCTTGGAGTGTCAGATTGCGTGCCTAAGTCTGGAGCACTGCTACACACAATTGAAATTTGTTGCCACAAATTCAATGGAACATCTGGAAGTCGATGTAGGAGTGCAGAAACTGCCGGATTTCGTGAATGATTCTGCACTCCTGCGTTGACTTCCAGTCGTTTAACTTATTTCACAAACATGTTGCTGTTTTTACACACAAATTTCTGAAGTCAAGTGCGCGAGGTGGAACGAAGGAGAATGACGTAAAGGAGTCCAATTTACTAGTGTGACCAGTAATTTTGGAACTTCGTTTGATGAATGTTTCAGTAAAACATCGACAGTGAGCATGCATAAGGGCCTATACGCTATGATCGATTCTCTTCGTCGATTTTCTCTTTTGCTAATAACTCGCTAGATTTAACGTTTCTCGGTGCGTTTGCTGTTGCTTTTGATAGCCAATACAACCTGTTACTACTCTGCATTGAACAAATTCTAGAAAATTGTTTCGCCTAGCTGTAGCAATGCAAAGAGAAAATCGATGAAGAGAATCGATCATCGCGTATTCGCCCTTATGAATGCTCACTGTCGACATAATTGGTACTGAAAACTCGGTGGTCTATTTTACTGAGTTTTGATCATTTCCCGTAAAACTGTTATTTTGCGGTCAATTCAGTAATTACTGTTACCGCATTCAGTAGTTTCTTGCAAAAACTAATGAACGTCAGTAATGTTATTGAGAACAGCTGAATGTTCGGTAGTTTTTGTGATTTACAGTTCGAAAACTGTAAAAAAAATTACCGAACAAGGAAACCGTGATTAAGTGTGTAGGATCTCTTTCTGCTCGGGTACTCTTAATCCAATGAGCTGGATTACCGAGGTGAAGCAATCGGTTAAGTTGTGTGAGGAAAACCCCTGTACGTACAAGCAATTAGTGACGTCACTACTTGCGTTTACGTTGATTTTTGGGTTTACTAATATGTACAACCATATTTCACGATCTGCTTGACCTCTCTGTATACTCATTGCTCTTGATCAGCCCTTCCTGCACGCAGCCATTTAAATGAAATGTCATATTCACGTGCAAATGTTTTTGTTGACGTTGTGCGATTGCCAGCTGATGGTGATAAAATCGGGTCGTTCCAACAGTTTCAACTTGCAATAAATTAATGTTGCAATTGTATACCTATTCCTTTCATATCTGATCGATCGAAGCGGCTACCTTCTTTGAACATGGATTTTGACGTGCAAGTGATCAAAAAGTCCAAAAGACACACGCGCGAGGAATTAAATGGCTTTTCACAAGAGGTAAGTTTGAGTTTTGGAAGACAGCTATCGGTTTTGGTTCATTTTATTTACTTACAGCAACTCGTAGATAGAATAGTCCAGCTTGAATCCCAAAACTTTCAACTGAAAAACATAGTGCAGAAGGTGACTGGAGTCAAGTCAGAAGATAGAACTAAGGAGCGCAACAACAAAAAGCGAAAATTCGATTTTTCCAAGTTTGTTCTCTAGGACAGTTTTACATGAGTAAATATCAATTACCTTTTCTTTAATGGTTTTTAGATGCCACAAGCGACACATTCTTCTGCGTTTCTACTATCTGGGATGGGACTACCAGGGCTATGCTTCGCAAGAGGACTCGGCTCGGACTATCGGTGTGTGCTTCATTTATTCCCAAAAGTACATTTTCTAAACTATATTTTGTTTTTTTTTTTTTAAGAACATCAACTTTTTAATGCTCTAACGCGCGTTTGCCTGATTGAGAACCGAGAGTCATCCAACTATCATCGGTGCGGCCGTACGGACAAAGGTGTTAGTGCGTTCCATCAGGTGGTCAGCTTAGACATTCGTTCGAAATTTTCTTCCGAAAGCCAGCTGGATCCTGGCTCGATTGCCAACGAAATCAACTACTGCCAGCTATTGAATCGTGTCCTACCGCAGAACATTCGGTGTGTCTCGTGGATGCCAATGGTGAATCCGAACTATAGTGCTAGATTCGATTGCCGATCGAGGACGTATCGATACTTCTTTCCCCGTGGTGATTTGGATGTAGAAGCCATGAAGGAAGCCAGTGGGTACTTGGTAGGAGCTCACGATTTCCGCAATCTGTGCAAGATGGACGTAGGAAATGGGGTGGTTGCGTTTATGAGGAGAATATCGTACGTGTCGATTGTGGATTCGCAAAAGGATGCGAATGAGTCTCCTTACGATATGTTATACCTTGAGCTTCGAGGTAAAGCATTTTTGTGGCACCAGGTTCGATGCATAATGGCAATTTTGATTTTGGTGGGCCAAGGCAGGGAAGCTCCAACGGTTGTTAGAGAGCTGTTGGATGTGGTCAAAAACCCTTGCAAGCCGCAGTACAGTTTAGCCAGTGACTTGCCGTTGAATTTGTACGAATGCGAGTACCGTAACAAGGGTGTGTTTGATCCAGCTATATTCGATAAAAATGGACCAGTCCTGGAGGATAATGAAGACATGGATGGTGATTCGGATTTGCGAGAGTGGGTTTATGAAGAGGAGAGCCTAACTCGAACAATTTCCGAGCTTCAAGCACTGTGGACATCCAACAGCATCAAGTAAGTACCTATTTTGTTTCCTCTGTTCGCGAACTAACACCACTAATTTGATATATATGACCATGCATCAGAACCCTAGTCTCAACTATTACAAACTAGGGAGCAACGAATAGAAGATTAGGAATCACAATGATGAAGACTTACTAACTAATTTTTTCCTTGTTGCAAGATCATCCTCGGTGCACAAAGCCGAGTCTTGTCACTATCAACAAGACATAAAAAGTAACATAGACTAAGATGTGTTCCTTTGATTACTGAAAAATCCTGTTCCCCTTATTTTAAGTAGTCAACACTAGGAATCGGTGGTAGATCTTACATCCCGTAACGTATCACGAAAAGGTGATCTACCCACGTTACGGGGCAAGTAAGTACCTATGGTTATGGGTCATCCATAAATTATGTAAGGTTTTTTTTTGGTGAAAAAGCATAAATGACGTAGCATTTTAGGGTGACCAGGCATGTTTACAAATTTGCTACAAGGGGGAAGAGGGCCCAAAGATGGTGCTTCATCAAACGTAATCACATGTTTAACGTTTGTTTACGTTTCATGATGCACCAACTTTATCTTCCTCCCCTTGTAGCGTATTTTTCTACATGGCTGATCACTAGACTGATGCAAAATTTGAAATTTTCGCTCCACAGTGCTTAAACGGTTCCAAATTAGGTCCTACTTAGCCTCCCAAAATCTGAACTACTTTAGTAAGAAACTGCCTTGGCACAACCCATTTCAAGTTTATATGGGAATTACTATGGGAAAACTTATGTTTTTGTTCATATTTATCTGCCAATTCACCACATCACTATGCTTTTAAAAATTATAACAGTGATTGTAGCAGCTACAACTTTGTTGAAAACTATTTTTCAATCAAATGTAAGGAACAAAAGTTATTAATGATTCAAGTCACTGATGTCTTATGATTATGCTCATTCAACTGTTCAGCAGGCAACATTGGTGTTTATGGCGCGTAGAATAGAGGACAAAAATCATGGCTACTATGTCACACTGCAGAATACAGTGTTGCCCACAATACAGTTGCTTAATCTTGCCATAAGATTATCAATCTCTAAAACAATTAATAACAATTTAATTTGACATTTGGCTGAAAAACGATTTTCCGCAAAGTTGTAGCTTAGGAAATTTCCCGTAAGAATAGTTATAGAAATTTTCTAAAAAGTAATATGGAAAATAGGTATAAGACAATGAACAAAAAGTTTGGTTTTCCCATAGTAATTTCCATATAAACTTTAAATAGTTTGTGCCAAGTCAGTTTCTTACCAAATGAGTTTAAATTTTGGGAGGCTAATCAGGACCTGATTTGAAACCGTTTGAGCACTGTGGAGCGAAATTTTCAAATTTTGCATCAGTCTACTGGTTATCCTGTAATGTTACGTCTTTTATGCATCGTCCCTTAATGTGGAGTTTTGGCATCTAAACGGTTGTGATCAAATTATTTACTTCTAATTGGGTTTTTTAATTTTGAAAAAAATTATCGGTTACCATACATCATCAGAAAGAACTTCGTTTTCTGAGCATAACGATATTTTTTCGATCCCATTTACTGTCGTTATACGCATAACTGTCCCATGTTCTATGCAATTCTTATGCACAGTGGGACTCTTAAGCATATAACGGCAGTTTACTTCTATCTCGATTTTTAAATCATGATATATAGAAAAATAAACAATGCAACTGTTGACACAAAAATAAGAAATTGACAGCTCACTCCCATACAAAGCATCGTCGAGTTCATAAACTACGTAGGCAGTTTTTTGTGATTCTTGACGGGGGGCATGCGTAGACAATAGACTACTAATGAATCAAATTACCTTCCAATATTTGTAGCAAGCTGCTGCGAAATTTTGAATTTTTGAGGTGTTCTTCCACCACGCATGGTGACGCCATATTGACTTTTTTTTGCGTACCTGAAAATCACGTAAATCTCGTTTCACGGAAAAATCGAATCCCAAACACACAAACACAAACACACTAAATATGTTAACGTGAATATACGGTCTATTTCACAAAAATTTTCAGTGGACGTGACGTGTAATGCATGAGATTTTCTAAATACAGATCAGTTACGTGATATTTCACGTAAATCGGACCTGAGGATTTTTTAGAGTGTATGATTGTTGATTTATCGTTCCGATTCTAGATCCACAATGTGCCGAGAAATGCTTAGAAGCTTGCAAGAAATATTTGACCAACGTTTCCCAGAAGCAGACAAACCAAAATGCCAACAGGCGATTCTTCTACAGGGTGTTCAATCGCGGGACTACAAACCGCTGATGGGTCGAAAGAAGTGCGGTAAGTATTTTTCCTATTATCATTAACCAAGTTTTACTTGGCATGAAATCCAAAATATGTACTTAGTACCGACATAATGTATTTTAAATCAATATCAAGAGAAATGTACGAGAAGTTCACTAAACAGCTTAGTCTACGTCAACCGTACGGTCGTGTCTTGTACACAACCCCACATATTTTTTTAAATCGAAAATAAAAACATGCAATTAAATCAATCAATTTCAGTTGCAGTTGAACAAAACCAACCTTGGGGAAATGGATGTAATGTCGGCCTAAATGTCCCTAATTTGGGCCCATACATAAATTCAGCAATCGACTGAATTTTCAATAGCGACCAAAAATATCCATTAGTACCGTCTCAATGACGCGTTCATCTAGATAAAATTGATAAATAGCTGATTTTTAGCGATGGGCCCAATCTTAGATCCATAGGCCAACATTAGAGCCATTTCCCCTATTTATTCCTTGATAGTGAAGTCACGATCGATCTCATTTTCCCACCATTTAAATGTGTCATTTTTTGCACAGAGAGTCTGGAAAGCCGCATCGTTCATTACTCCAAAAAGCGACGAATCCAGGTTAGCGTTAAAGACAAGGCAGACAGTAGCGAAGCGAAGATAGAGCCAGCGGATGGGGAGGACAACTGCTGAGGTTACTATGGTGCTGAAGTGAGGAGTACCCAACAGTGGCGGAGAGAAATTGAGAACTGAATGCATAATAAACCCCACGAGGCGGGTGATCAATATTCCGAACAGGTGTGCTAAGAGTACATCAATGAGAAGTGAAGTGCGTGTAAATGAAACCGCTGCGGTGAAAACTAGTGAGTGAAATCTGATCTTTATTACCGTCATTAATTTATCTTAATAAAGTTTTGTACAAACATGCTGGAAGAAAATCTTAGATTTTTCGTGAATTTCGCTTAATTATATTGCTAATCGTTACATCCGAAATAGTCCTACGTCTTACAGTTCCCAAGTAGCCTTGAATCCTACAAACTAGTTTCGCTTATGATTAGCACGGATATTACACGAAGTATATGATTCTCTCTGCTTTGATGCAACGTTAAGTTCAGGAATGTGACTAGAATAAGGTGCCGGGACACTTCTGACAAGCTGAAGTGTCCATTTTGGAGTAGCACGGAAGCGTCCAAAAATGTTGTTGTGTTGCTGGGAGTCGGATTTCCTTTTAGAGTAGTTCTGCTGGAAGACACAGTTGGTCACGTTTGGAGAGACTTGTGGAATGTGTTGGGTGTGGGACGTTGGCTTATTGTCTCAATTTGGCAAATTGTCCACAGATTTGGCGCGCTGGTATCTGTAAAGTGAATCAATAATGAAGGAATCTAATGGTCAGCAATGCATTGGAAATACTTACTTCCGTCTAGCAAGCTTCAGCATTACCGGACCTTCTTTGATATTTTTGAAAAGTCCTATCGTTTCAGCGTGACTCATTCCGTGTACGGTCATATCGTTTATTGAGACTATTTCGTCACCTGCAAGGAGTATTCCGTGAAATTAATTTTCAGAATGTTGTCTATTTGTTTAAACATTTTTAATTTATTCAAAAATAATGGAATGTATTTTTATGCATAGAATTAATTCAATTCAATTTATCGTGTACAGATTCAATGAAAATCACAACTCGAAATTATTACCACCGCGTTTCTACCAACACAGCATGCGCTTACACCATGTCCCGCTATGGTGCGTTCCTTACGTGCAACGTTCATTATAATGTTGTAACGTTGATTGGACATGCGGTTTGTTTTGTTTGTTGTACTAGTCAGCTTGACTTTAAACAAAACACGCAATATCACCCAACGACAAATCATGATCGTCTTCGTAGATCTGCAATAGGAGCGAGACACGCAGGCAACACAGCGGCGAGTAAAATCAAGTTATGCAACCGCACCATCATCGAGTAGGAGTGGTCCGTGTTTCCAGTAGGTCAACCTTCATTAAGGTTTTCAAATTTTACACGAGATTCACGCAAACAATAATTATAATTTGAAGAATAACGCTTTACCAGCCATAAGATTGCCATCCAGAGCTGCCTGTCCGCTTGGGAAGACCGTCTTCACGTAGATTCCCATGCTTCCTTTGGGTGAGTCGCGTCCTCCAACGATGCTAAATCCAAGCGATTTCATCCCGACGCCTTTGTAGAAAGTAACGATCACATAGGAGCATTTATGGATTCCTATATGAAAGAAAAAGTGATAAATTATTCCATTCCTCGGTTGCATAACTGAAAAACCACACCTTCTATGTATGACGAGCCTTCTTCGTTGATTAATATCCGAACGCCCGATTCATATTTTGCGTTATCCATCGAGTTATCCAGGTCCTTGCTGTTGATGTTCTGTTCCGCTTTCGAGCGCTGCAAAGGATTAGCATCCATGGAGTCATCTTCAGAAGCGGTGCTCCCTTCGCCGGAAGTAGAACTAGAACCACTATTTGTATCGTTACAAGATTTCAGTCTGATTCTTTGTACTGTCTTTGGAATGTCTTCCGGCTTTTTAATTTTAATTGAACGGTAATCAAGGTTAGCTTGACGATTGCTGTTACTGATGCTACCGAAGGGAACGTTTCTTCGAATGGTGTCCGAAATGATTTCAACCATGGTGACCGGTCGGGATATAGTCGTCGTTTCACCATCACCGTTGCTGGCTAAGTGTGCGATCGACGAGTGATGGCTCAGATTACCTTGTGATACCGGGCGATAGAGTGTGTGAAGTCCTGCTTCACTCGAGTGACCACCATTTATCGCAGTGGGTGGAACGATAATGATATCTTCGTCACTATCTTTGATCACTCGTTTCGAGCCAAGGATTTGCGAGTAACCATTCTTTCCGAGAGCCTCACTTCGCTGCTTGCTCAACATTTGCCACTTTTCGTCGTCACAGATGGTGTTAGAGATTGATATCCGATTGGCATAGACCGGAACGTAGTCCGCTGGTGAGTAGATCTGTGTCATTGGAAAAGTCGCTTTGGGTTGTTGCTGGTGTTGTATGATCCGTCCGTTCGAGATTGGCGTTGAACAGTTGATCGTCGTCGTGCATTCCGCCATTCCGATGGCTGGTTGCTGTCTTGGATTATTATTAAAATTGCCATTGGTCGTTAGTAGTCCACCGGCACCGCCGTTGACTTCCAGCTCACTGACCTGATTGGTGGTCACACTGGCGTCGATTTTGATCTTTCGGTGCAGGTCGGTGTTGAACGTAGTTAGCTCGTCATGTGCAATGACAAGGTCTACAATGTTGTTGACGAAAGTCGATAGTATGCGTTGTACCGTGCTGGGAGATTGCAGGCCACGTAAATGGTGCCCGTTTACGTTGACAATCTCGTCGCCAATCCGCAGGCGGCCGTCTCTGCAAGTGATATAAACAAAATATACAATATTAAGGAATGTATGTATGTTGTTAAAAATGGATGAAATAAGAACGCTTAACCTTCCCTGACGGGAGACAAGAAGAATGAATGATATGAGTCACTAACGAAATTCCCAGTTCAGTCAAGAATCTTCTTAGTTTCAAAATGTTCTCCTATGCTAGGACAATCCACATAACGCCGCGGGTAGATCACCTCTTAGTGGTGCGTTACGGTGTAAGATCTACCATCAAGCCCTAGGGAAACAGGTATTTTTCAGTAATCAAAGACCACATCTTAGTCCTATTTCATTTCATGTGATAACAAAAACGGTTATGTCCACCGAGGATGATCTTGAAACAAGTAAAAATGGGTCAGTTTTCTATGTGATTTCTAATGATTTCGATGTTCTCTAGTATGAAGCGATTTAGATTAGGGTATTTTTCTTATTATTGGCTGTCCCCACATCCTGCCTCCAAATTCTCTTTCAATCTGTATTCTACATAAACATTTATAAAGGTCCTTTATGTATGGATCGACTTTCTCTTTCGTTAAAGCGAACCCCACACGCGAAGGGGAATTATTGACAATAATATTGATGATGTGATTACATAAATATTGTTAATACCGATGTATTGACGTCAATATAGAATGTATTGACAATACTGTTATTGTCAATAAAAGAAATCGTGTAGGGTCCACTTAATAACTCAACAGCAAAAGCTTTCCTTGTTGTATTTGGTATTCTGAACCTTCTGGACGCTACACGGTTAGAAAAAAGTACCCAAAATTAAGTTCTTTTCACTCATCTAGGCACTATAGTGCAGGAACCCAAAAGTAGGTAAAGCGGGTCAAAGTAATTTTCATTTACTTGTATGCAGTTTGTATGGAATTTTCCACTGGCTTTTTAACCAAAAGTAAGTTAGTTGTACCCAACAGTAGGTAAATATGATTATACTCAACGTTGGGTTCCCACACTTCACTACCCCTGTTAGGTGGTTTTGCTACTCCGTTTTTGACAACATTAGAAGGAGAAAAGGAGACAAACTAGTCAATAGTAGGTAAAAGTGAACTTTCCGTTGGGTACTTTTTTCTTACCGTGTAGATAAGAGAGTTGGTCAAAGCAGATAGAACTTTTTGAAATGTTCATCGATTATTGAGGTCCCCAAGAACTGTGCCAAACAGACTCAACACATTGAACCAAGGTGACTACATATAGGTGTGTCAAATACATGATTCAGCCATGTTGGATTTTTGTATGGGACAGCGACCGAGTTTGTTTACAATTTGCTCTAAAATCGCACTTTTCCCCCCCGCGACCTCCTCGCCTATATAGTGACAAAGCTGTATCACCATTTGTATACCCACCATGCATTGAACCTTTCTCATTGTAAACCCTACCGCCATCTGTCGTACACTGATAAATTAAACTATTCCCATTTTGCTTGAAATTTAATCAATTTGACATTTAACTCAGTTTAATCATATCGAATGATTAAAAATTAATACTCTCTTTCTAAAAAATAAGCATCTGATATTTATCCTAGTTTGATCATGGTTGAAGATTATCTCTTTTTGAATAAATTTTAATCATTTTTGATTCTATTTTAATACTTTTTGATTGAATTTTAATCTTTTTTTGACTATATATCAGTATTGAAAACGAATAATATTTAATACTGAAAAGATTATTTCGAATTTAATCATGCATGACTACTGCCGAAGTAATCATGGCTCGGACTCAATAAGGTGAAGCGGGAATCTGCATACTTTTCAAGCTTTTTTGATTTAATTTATCTTTGAGTGTAAACACTGTGGTGGACAGTATGCTAAACAAATGGAGGTAGTGGTACTACCAACTACGATACTTTTAAATTGGCCGTTAAATGGTTGTTCGATGAACAACTTGCGAGTGATATGTCTGTTTGTCTGTGATCATACTCTATGCCCAGGGAAGTCGAAACATTTTACTACCCGAAAAACTCCTAGGCCAGACCGGGAATCGAACCCAGCAACTTCTAATATGGTTTTGCTTTAGCTGTGCTTTTACCGACTGAGCTGTACGACTTGAATTTAAAATAAAAAATAGTTTTCAGAATTTTTAACCGCTGGCTCATCAACCATTTATTAGTTAAGAATGAGTGTGGCGAATGAGAACGATCCAAATTTGAGTTTAGTTCACTAATAATCGCCAAAAGTGCAGGAACTCAGCGATGAGTAAATTTGTCTCATGGTTTCCTGTGGAAAACCTAAAAAATCTGCCGGAAAATGAGGAAATTGACGAAAATTTTATTCAGTTTCGGAGTAGTACCAATAGACTGAGTGAATCCAATCTTTACTTTTCTCAAATTCGGGAATTTTTCCCTTGAAAATCCTGGAAAAACCTGGGAAAACATGAGACAAATTTTACTCATCGCAGAGTTCCTGCACTTTTGGCGATTATGAGTGAACTAAGCTCAAATTTGGGTCGTTCTCATTCGCCGTTTCTGGAAGTCGATTCAATGTCAGTTTCTACACTCTTGCGTTGGCTTCCAGATGTTTAATTTATTTTCACAAAAATTCTCTATTATCACACAGATTTCCAAACAAGTTCGAGGTTAGCAACAATCAATTCGAAACTAACGATTTCAAATTGGCTCACTGCTTGACTAGCCTATTGGTCCCAAGCAAACGATTAACGTACCCCATTCTAGTTGAAATTCTAGTACTACACTATGTTTATTTTGATTCGCTATGAAAGTTTGACAGATAAAATGAGGGGTTCATGGATTTTCTTATGTTTCGAGGGGTGCATCGATTAGCTTGGGACCGAAGATAACACTAGAGCTGAGCCAAAAAGTTGAGCACGTATCTTCGGGACCTTCTGGTCTTACCTCTATGAGGTAAGTGCGCGATGTGAAACGGATGAGGATTGCGCAAGCAAGTTGACTTACGGGTGAGATCAGCAAGTATGGAATTTCGTTCGATGACTGTTCAGTAAAACACAATGGATACTGTAAACTCGGTACTCTATTTTGCTGAGTTTTAGACATTAACCGTAAAGCTATCATTTTACGGAAAATTCAGTACTTGCTATTACCAACAATCAATACGAAACTAACGATTTTAAATTGGCTCACTACTTGACTAGCCTATTGGTCCCAAGCAAACGATTAACGTATCCCATTCTAGTCGAAATTCTAGTACTACGCAATGTTTGTTTTGATTCGCTATGAAAGTTTGACAGATGAAATGAGGGGCTATTCGTTTTTCCTATGGTGCGAGGGGTGAATCGATTAGCTTGGGACCGAAGAGAGTACCAGAGCTGAGCCAAAAAGTTGAGCACGTTATTTCGGGACCTTCTAGTCTTAGAGTTACCTCTATGCTATTACCATAGAGGTAACTCTAAGACCAGAGGGTCCCGAAGAAACGTACTCAACTTATTCGGTCAGCTCTGTTACTCTCTTCGGTCCCAAACTAATCGATGCACCCCTCGAAACATAGGAAAATCCACTAACCCCTCATTTTATCGGTTAAACTTTCATAGCGAATCAAAACAAACATTGTGTAGTACTAGAATTTTGACTAGAATGGGGTACGCTAATTGATTTGCTTGGGACCAATAGGCTAGTCAAGTAGTGAGCCAATTTAAAATCGTTAGTTTCCACCGGTTGCTATTACCGTATTCAGTAGTTTGTCACAAAAGCTACTGAACATTAGTAGTTTTATTGAGAAAGTAGCTGAATATTCGGTATATTTTGTGATTTACAGTTCGAAAACTGTAAAAAAAATACCGAACAGGGAAGCCGTGATTAAGTGTGTATATTTCAAAATTTTCATGGAAGACCGCTTCATATCTTATACATTTTTATGGATCTGCTTTATAATGATGCTGACTAATTGAATTTAAATATTTAGATTATTATTACATGTGTACAAATAAACCTTTGCTTGTCGAGATTCGAACCGGCAGTCACTGATTTGCAGACGTCAACTATACCTACTGGACCATTTCAGTTTATGTGTGACAAAAGGTATGATCATTGACTTGAAGGCTTGAAGCACGCCAAATTTAAGTTGAATAATAGCAACTGGAAGAGTATTATACAGCAATGCAGAATTGTAAAAAATAAATGGTTACAGTAACCCATTCCTCTAAATTTCAAGTGCAGTAAACACAATGTGGACACAAGTCAGCTATTTATTTCGATTGTCGTTTGGTTGCTATTGTTGCTATTGTGCCACAATTGCATTATATGCTTGGAATGCGGTCTAAAAATTCAGTACAGTGGTGAACAGTCAAAACACAGGAATACAAGTTGTAATGCTTCCGACGTCGTTGCAGTCCACTTCTACCTGGAGCTATTCCTAAAAGCTCCTCTCCTTGTGTCTACTGATGGCGCTACTTGAGATTGAAAAGGTAAACAGTGGATTTAAAAAATCTAAAATGCCGGAAATGCAACGCGTGCATTGACGACATTTAAAAATATTGGGCAATAGATGCCTATTCTATAAACATATTCGTAGCGCATTGCTGATTTGTGGGGTAGTGTTAAGCTCAAATAAGTCTTCTTCAGTCTTAATTTCAGCTAGAATTATGGGTATACAATTCACTTGGTGCACTACTAATCAACTTTATATTTAGACTAGTGTTGTCTAAACATGTCTATGCCAATTTAAAAAATCAATAACGTACACACTTAGAAAAAATCATGTAAATTTAGGTGCTTTGAGACTGACATATACGAGCGTCAATTTTGACATAAAATTGAGTCATAACAGACGCGAAATTCAACTCAATCAAACGTATTTTCAGTCGAGTAACGAACTTTTCAGTCTCGGGGCACTTAATTTTACATGACTTATTTGTTTACGTCTGATCCTTTATGTCAAATATGGATTCCGTCACATGTAAAATTAGTTATTTCTAAGTGTGTAGCTCTGTTTACAGCAAATACGATTTTTATTTCGCATTCATGTTCTCTATAGTATTCTCTTACAGTTAAACGTAGAAAATCCGAGA